CAGCAGGAAAAAAAGCCAGAACCATTCATCTTTTTTACCCAAAGGGAAATGAAAACCAAAAGAGGGAAGGAGTAGGCTGGGACACATGGAGGGAAGGGCAGGTTTACCAGCATTCAGGAAACCATGCTTCACACAGTTGTCCTGATCTTAGGAAGTGTGAGCCTCCGTTCTCATCAGGTGAGTGACAGGCCTGCTGAATAGCTTTTCTTAACTTTGCCAAAAGGCAAGAAGCGGGTATAGGGAAATCCTCATCGGTAGTGCAGGGAGTGGGTTAGTAATTTTCTGGGAGATGGCAGGATTAATTTCTCGTCTGTCTTTATATTGTACCATACCACAGTGGCAACCTCCAGCGCTCTGAGATGGCGGTGTCCTTAAACGCTCAGCTCACGCACGCTGCAGGGTGTGCTTGGTTCATCCAGGCTGGTGCGGAAGTCCGCGAATCATTCCCTATTAGCAGCCTGAATTCACTCATCCATTTGCAGGAGCTCTAGGTCTGGGCTAAACAGGAAAGCAAATGCAAATGAAACCATGAAGAGCCCTTTCTTGCTTACTCCTGGGCAAGGTGGGTTTGTACACCGTCCCTTGTTTCCCTTTTCCAAAATGTTAGTTTCCTAACTTTCATCACTGTAAAAATGTGTCAAGAAAAGCCCTCACTGCGCTGCAAACTTTGTGTGTGCAGACTCTTGGCTAGGAGGACCTGGGTCAGGAGGTCCAGGAGACGTTTCGGTGTGGTTCCAGCTGCTCTCTGAGCGTGACTGAGCCGCAAACAGCTTCTAAAGCGTCGTGGAGGAGACAAAGTGCAAGGGCACTGTGGTGGCCCTGCTCTGCCCTGGCGCTCGCGAGCAGAGCCTGCTCCCCCGTACACGAGGCTGGGAGCTGCGGATCGACGCCGGGCCACCCTCGTGCTCCGGCGCGGGGCCAGACAGGGTTCTGCTGCGTTTATATGAAATAAGTTAGAGTTGCTGTGCCACATGTAACCCGCGTCGGCAGCCCGCGTGGATAGCCAGGGGCGTTCTGCTAACTATTTGCTTCTCTTTTTGATAGTTTCTGGCCTGTTGCCTGTTTTATTTGCAGCCATCTCTTATTCCCAGCACCTCATACTGAAGGAAAATGCTGTTTGAATGGAATATTGCAGTTTTGGCTACATTAGCTATTCCAGGCTGCCATGACCCCTGCATTTATCCACTTGCGACGAGGCTTCCTTAGCAGTATTCCTGAGGCCTTTGTGCTTGTTTCCATGGATTTGTGAGAACCGGCTACATGGTTTATCTGACTTGCCTGGGATTTGTGCTACAGTACAAGCCAGTGCACTTTAGCAGAATACCAGAGGAAGAAAAGAAGAGTAGCATTAGCCTCGAGACAACTTTGCAGGAACTCTGAGGGTCACAGCTCAGACTGGACCAGGCTGAGTGCACTGTTGGAAAACAAAATATAT